TATTATTACGGTGGCATTTGCGCATGAATTTTATAATGATACGAATAGCACCGGACGAACGTTCCTAGACAAATAAACGGCGCTCCCGAACGATGACACGTCGCCGCCGTCGGCCGGTGGTGAATTGCGAATAGTAGGCGAGGCTTAAACGCCGCGCGCTTGCGGATCGTGAAAACACTTAACAGCGCATCCTCTCGGTCGTTGCACGCGTAAATTTTTCGTGACACGTCCTCTTAATAATGATTTGTGATAAATAATAATAAATTGAATTATGAATATTGTTAAATTTATATATTGTATCAACTAATTCCGCATTATTGATTTGTAAAGCGATTAATTTTAAGCATTTTAAGATTACTAAAAATGTATTATTGGGTACACAGTTGAATTATATAACCATAAACATTTTAAATTCCATCCGTAGAGTATGGGCATAACATCAAAAAAAAAAAATATATTAATATAAGTATATTGTTTATCAGGAATTTGAAAAAAGTGCATGCTAGAAATAATTTAAAAAATATGAAATATTATGGCTTATTCGACTAAAATAAATTGTATGCTATATTATTGTTTTTTTCAAACACCATATATTTGTTAAAATAAAAATAGCCACTAATCACTATTGTTTTCTTGTATGTTCACACAACTAATTGACAAAAAACAAAACCTTCTTCACCAGCACAAGTTTTAACTCACTACCGAACAATGGAGAGCTTATACCTTTTTGGCTGAACGATTGAGAACACTTAAATTCACAAAGAATTCACCACTGACCCAAAAAACTATACGATTGATCATTTAAGTGCAACGTTGCCATGCCATTTAATTGGCTTTCGACTGATATAGCACGTTGTATTTTTTTTTTTTTACTGAAAATATAAGTGAATGAAAACTAATTAATATATTATATAAAAATATAAAATACAAAAAAATACAAAATATTGTTAAAATAAGTTTTAATAAATGTATATTGTATATTATATGAATACAATAATGTGGTACACAAAATTATTAAAAATATAATTTTCAATCTTATTTTACCGCATTAACTTACAGGGAGTGCTGAAATATTGTAAATTATTTTACACTTTATTTTGTAAAGTATAAATATTATTTCATTAATGCAATATATTAGTAATGTACCTACCTATATTATTATTATAATTAAAAACTCATTTTGGTAACAACATAATATGAAATATAAAGAAAGCTATACAATTAAGTTGCACCAACAAATGAACTTTTGAAATTCAAATTTAATTTTTACATTACTTATCATCAAAAATTCTTAGTGCGTACAATCCTAAATACTTAATTGTTGATCGTTTAAAATCAATTATTAGGTATAAGAAAAAGTGCTGCAAAAAGTGATACTCCAATCAATTTTTTAAGATTGAGCTCGTTGGTGACTAGTAACTAAATACCATTGAAAAATTATTTCACACATAGAAAAAAACATAGTATAGATAAAAAAACTGAATATTCATAACGAGAAGAAAATAACTTTGTATGTGAAATATTGTTTTGTCTTTTCGACTTCATTTACTTGGTAAAATATACCTGTTGCTCATTATTTATTATGTCCAGTTAAAAATCGGCAAAATGAGATTGGTCAACACCATTACATATCCCAGAATTGTCATCTTCGACGTAGGCTTCGAAGTTATGTGTATCTGATGGACTAGTATAACTTGGTATGTATGGAGGTACCATATGTTTATTATAGAGCAATATCCAATCTATTTTGACAAACCATCTGAAAAAAACATTTGAATTATAATATTTATTGAACAAAAATTAAAAATAATGTATTATGTAACACAAATGTCAGTCATCTAATGAATAACAATAAATTATAACCATGAAATCAAAAATTAATTACAACAGTTACACGGTAGATATAATTTGTGACAATTTTTATACGGAATTCTTGCATCAAATTAATTTTCTATTTTTCTAGTCTATTAAACATGTTATGTTTGTACACCGTCGTTCTTAACATCTAGATATTTTTATACAACAAAACATGATTTCATTTTGGTTAAAGAATATTATGAGATTTTAGCGAGCCAAACTATATTTGCTATACAAAACCTAGTTAGGTTCACTTACACATTCAATACATGTTATCATAATAGGTAATTAAAATTTGATATCGGGAAGTAAGGTTAATTTATTTTTCATTTAATGGTTTTTAATATAAAGTAAATCCTGTAAAAATGAAAAAATTATTTCTTAAATAGTTGGCGACAAGAATGTTATTATTTATTGGTATTATATTGGGTGGTAGTGGAAATTGCTACAGTTATAAAATATCACACAATTAGCACACTGTAATAAATTAATTAACTTGTCACACGTTGATCCATAAAATACACGTCACATTAAATGTCTGTTTAAACCTTCTTTGGAACGGAAAGAATTCGAACTACTTCTAATATTGTGTGAAGTTCAATTAATTTATTACATTTCGTATCAAATTTCCAAGTATAAATATTAATTGATTTAGGTATTTATTAAAACAAAATTAACACTGAGAATTCGTTTGTAAAGTTATGTACTTATTTACAATACACACATTACGTTGTTTATCTGTCCTCTGAAATAATTAAATATCTTACCGGTGATATTTAATGTCAGCAATTCCTTTCACTAAGTTTCCATATCGTTTTGTAAGGTCCACTCGTAGTAAGTTTTTTACAAGATGTGCAAGGTTCGGAGAAAAATTGATCGGCATTCTGTAATTGCCGCTCAAGATCCTATAGAACAGTTTTTTTTCATTGTCGGCGTTGAATGGCACTGACCCAGCAACCATTTCAAATGTGATTATGCCTAGTGCCCACCAGTCGACGGGTTTTCCATACGGTTTGATTGCTATGATTTCTGGTGCCAAATAGTACGGAGTACCACAAAGAGTGGTTGTTCGATTGGAAACTATACGCTTGCTCAATCCGAGATCTGTTAATTTTATAAAACCATCACCGGCAATCAACACATTTTCAGGTTTCAAATCCCTATTTAAATATTAATAGTATAATATATTTATACAAATTTATTTTTCTCAACAAGAGGACGACATGCCCACGTGTGTATTATCCGTCTTAAAAACTTACAACATACCTAGCAAATCGGCATTAAGCAGAATCAATTTTACCTTTAGTATTAGAGTGAATTTGGATATGATAAAATCGCATGATATGAATATTGCCTATGGAGAATTGTAAACTTTTATTGATTGCATTTTAAAGTGATTTATAAAAATGTAAAATATTACAATTTTAAAATGCTCGCTAAAATATCAATTATTTAAATTATTAAAACTTACCTATTTTTATCTTTATATACTTAATAAAAGGTCAATTCAAGAAAATTGTCTATGTTGCTATGTTTGTAAGACAGACACCGTCGAATATTTATTACAATTTATAATGATGTGTATTGTGTATCCATCAAAACGGTTATGAACACTTATTGGGTATTATGAATATATTATGTAACAAAAGTATATTATTGCTATATAATAAAGTTGGTACCTACCCATTATTCATAAACTAAATTTAAAAACTTGAACGCGTATCAATGACTGTTAGTAATGATAAAGACGGAATTATAAATTAAGTTTGTATTCACCATAAAAGATTACGTATTTAATTCTCTTTGCACCTATGCGGTACATCAATTACGTCTAATAACACACAACGATAAATTTAATAAAAGAGGTAGGTACTTATAAATTAATTTCCAAAAATACGTAAGTATAATAAGTATATAACTTTCTTTGTGAATTAAAATTTAATTTGAACAGATATACGTAAGACGTAAAACGGAACTGTTTACGGTTTTTAGAAAAGTATTCATTGAATAAATTTTAAGTCCAAATAAAAATGTTTATTCTAAGAAAGGTTTTTAAAATCAATTTTTTAGCAACTAATATATTCTTTTTGAACTTAAATAATTTAGTCTAAATGATACTTGAATTATTTACACCCTAAAAAAATAGTAAAAGTTTTGTCTTTTAAAATGGAACAGATATGTGTTAAGTACTCGTTATCAGTTACACAGTAGCTCGTGTTTCCGCGGAGGTCTGTGTGAAAGATATATATTTTGGATACTGTTTTTGTGAATTTTACAGGAAATATTACAAATTACTCCAATTTTTTAATATAAGTACAGCTGGCGAATATTGAATTTTGACAATATACCTTGAGAATAAACCCAAATCCACAAACTGTTGTCAGCCACACAATATTATAATAATTTCTAACATCGAGTATATACTGCTTAATACATTTATGAATTACCTATAGATTATATCCAACGAATGTAAATATTCAAGTGCTAGGACCATTTGTCCCGCATAAAACATAGCATGCAACTCGTCTAGTACACCTCGGTCACTCATTAAACCGAATAAGTCTCCCCCTACTATGAACGGCATAACGAAATATAAGTTGCATACGTCCTTTGCACAATACTCCATTTGTATGATGAACGGATGTCGTAAATTTGTTAATAGTTGTTTCTCATTAGTAACGTGTTGTAAATAATTTCGCTTTAAAATTTGCTCTTTCTTCATAATCTATGAGAATACATTTAAACACATGATCGGTTCTTTATATTATACATGTTTTCGGATATTAATATATTATTATCTACATATTATCGGATATTGCATAATTGCATTAAATGGTATTATGAATAAAATAAATCTGACAAATTCCAAATGCCACAATCACCAAGTATAAAAAGGATATGTTTCAAAAGAATTGTGGAAATAATGTTTTAGATTTCATGGCTGTTGTATTGGTAAATCGTAATTATACTAATCACACATTGTTTTGGTTTTAATTATATTTCAACAAAAATTTGCTATACATCAACGATTACGGCTGAAAAAAATCAGATACCTAACTAAGTACACAAATCAATATTGAGTCTAAATTATAATGAGAAATACCATTATATAATACAATTATGAAATCGAAGACAAGTACAATAATAACGTATTTTAATGTCATTATGTTAATAATTAAAATCTGAGTTCTAAATAATATTAGACTATGAGATGTTTTGTTAAGATGTTTGGAAAGAAATTTTTTTAATGATATTTATAATTCATAGAATAATTGGGTATTTTTATGTTTGCAGAGGTGATGATTCATGGTTATGTTCGTGAAAGTGAAATAGAGTTGAAAAGGGACACTGTGTGTTTTCTATTTGGGTGCGATGGTTTTTATTATTAATGAATGAAAATGAAATAAATATATAATAAATAATAAAATGAATGATTAATTTTTGGACACTTAAGTAGAGCATTATAGTTTGGATATCCTTTTAAGTTGGATGTATAAGCACCAACGAAAGTCCCGCAATTATGCATCAGGGAGTTTGATTAAAGTACTTTTGAGTTGTGTCCATAGTCCTGACAGTTGTGACAATGTGGTGGACGACCCATTCTTGGATCCATATATTATTTCCACAAATAACTTTGTGAATTAATATTTAATAATGATGAGTTGATTATTTACTCATTGGTGTAAGAGAAATTGAGGTCTACAAAAAAGAGTCAGTTTTTTTTTCATATGACATAATATTGTATTCACAACGTGAAGATATCATTGATGATAGTTGTGAAGTGGGAATTTGTAGTTATGACTAATAGACCCAATAGGAAAATAACGGTGTAGGTGGAAATGTTGGAGGGGAAGCTTAGCCATCAAATACTTTAAAAGCCTCCCCCAACAAAAAAAAAAAAGTGAACATTAAAAGATCTGTACAAATTTGATTTAATATTTCGATAGGCTTTTTTTTTTTGTAAACGTAGACATTTGAGGAATCATGTATTACATTTTCAAATCTTAAATATGAAAAGGAATTTTTATTGATTTATAAAATAAATAGAATCATTCGGGATACATACAAATTTTGTCAACATTTGAACTTCGGAAGGGTCATGAAAAATTATTGTGGATTTACGTTCAATTTTTTTTTTAAATTTTCATTTACAAGATCTTAAAAAAAACCACATCATCAAGTTTTTTTACTCAAACCTTGAGCCATATTTTTTTATTAACATTAATTTTAAAAAATCCAGATAATAATCTCAAATTTCAAATTTTTATAAATACCTCAATATGAATCAAAATATTTAGGAAATAAATAGTAGTGCTTAGAAAATTCTAATATCAACATTCAATGATATTAATAACACAGTTAGTTGGATTAGTTTTGCTGAAAGCAATTTGACAAATGTTAGTGTGTGTGTATGCAGTATAATAATGTACTCTCAAAGTTTCAAGTATGTCAAATAATATTTTTAAATTACTGCAAAATAACCAAAACTGTTGTTCTTTGTTTTACTAATTTTGTCCAAATTAGAACCTAAAATATAAATAAATAAAACAGTGTTCATATGTAATATATTAGATTTTTTGTTACAAAATTAATAACTTATCAGTTTTTTACACTACAGTTTCTAGCTTTTTGATAAAGAAGAAAAAATGTTATGACATTCATGTAATAAAAACTAAAAAATTGAAAATAAACACAGTCAAAATATTAAAAAAAAATGGAATTGTATACAGAAAATACTAATTTAAAAATTTTATGGAAATGTAATTTGTACACTTCAGATTATTTTTTTTTCGAGTTATATTAAAAAAATCTATATCGATTTGTCAAAATCTGGTTTTGCTTAAAAATTCAAATTTTTCTTTAATTTTTTATTTGGATATTAAAGAAATAACTGGGAAATTTTTACTTCTGAATTAAATTAGTTAATCGGATTCTTATGTTCAAACAAATAATACGTTAAGTATATTAAAATATAAATTGATTACGTTTTGAAAGTTGGAACTAGTAACTCTTATTATGAGTTGTATTATTTGTAAGTAATTAAACTTTTAAATATTTTAACTGCCTTCCCATTTCTTACTTTCATAGCTAAAAATACTTCGGGTTTTAATTTGTGATTGACTAACATAACGCGTCCAAAAGCACCCATGCCGATAGTCTTATGAAATGTAAAATCATCAACCGCAGAATCGTTCATTTGTTGTCGTCTTAACCGATTTTCGAAATTGAGCTTCGAACATTCTAAATATTCCTGAACTTTATTTATATCTTCTAATATACAATTATTATCGTGACCACTAATAGGGTATTCAACACTTCCAGTTTTGTTAACTTCACCTTTGGACATGATACAATTAAAAAAATTTTGTTTTCAAACGTCGTTCGTCATGTTTAAACGAGTTGAACTATATTATTATTTACACTCGTAACCATCCATTTAAAGCATGAATGTGTACAGTTACCTAGGTTTAATATTGTTGCGTTGTTGTTTCAACAAATATGACAGTTGAGCTGGTATTATAGTTAAAATAATTAAAGATAAGATTTCAGTTTTGCACTGTGTCTGTCTTCTTTGTTTGGTGGTCTGCGAATCTCCGTTTTTAAACCGAATTTTGGATTGTAAAATTTGCTCACTGTTTCCAAGTTCTAAAAAAAATGTAGCAAACAGCGGTTATTTAGGATATAAAATATTAAAGACTACTAATGAAACTAAATTGTTTTTTTGGTTAGGTACTTAAAAAAAATCCGTTTTTGTCTGGCTTGAGCCAGTAATTAACTGGTATATTTGTATTACATAGTTCAAAAACTATCAGTACTTGAAAAGCGACACAATAAAAAATTAGATTTCAAATAGTAGAAAGATTTGTTTAATATAATGATGAATGAGACGTGTGTGTTACCGGAAAAATGAACTACTACAAACGACAGTGATGTAGCTAAATAGCCTATCTATGTCGCCGTGTCATCATAATTTTAACATTTTACTAAAATGAATTAACTTACTATACTCATTAGTTACTATAAATTATCTGAAAAACAAATTTTATGTTCTTGAAAATGTTTTACACAACGTTGAGTAACCTAGGTTGTCAAATAAAAATGCATTAATGTTATATGTAAGTATATTAATTAATATTAATTGTATTATTAAAACATCATGTTCAAAAACAATTATTAATAATAATCATAAAAAATATTTTAATATTTTTTAACAAATCTCATATAGTTGTTATAACAAAAAAAAATATAAAACATATACAAACTTTTTTAATAACCATTTGTAACAAACGCATATTGATTGATTTGACTCTGTAGTAGCTACTAATTATATTATAAGATCACACACGTTTAAATTATAATAATGTAAAATGTAAAAATTTATTAGATACGAGTTAATCAATTAATAACGCTCTATTTTAAGATAAAAGAATATATATAATGCTTTATTTTAAATGTCAAACGGATTTTGTTTGTCTATAGTATTTAGCAAGTTCCATTTCACCGTGTTATCTGAAGACTACAAAGTCATGAGTTATCGAGAATAGTAAAATAACATATTTTTATCTTAACGACGTTTTCAAAATGTTGCAAATTTACTTAATTATAATTATGAAAATATAGAATTAGATTTTATATATTTTAAAAAGAGACGATTTTATTAATTATTGCAATATTCTTCTGAAACATTCTTACTTGTGCAATACTGATTTGAAGTTCGCTCGTTACGTGCAATAGTGTCTACAGCGGTTGTACCTATAAATTATGTGGTGCTGTCTTCGAAAGTTTTCTCTAATGATTTCGTGTTGCTTAATTTAGAGATTTGCAAAATTCAATTTTCACTTGGTTGATTGCCGTGAAAAAATAATCAGAGTTTCAACAGTATTAATTTTTAACACCTCGAACGTTAAACTTGTATAGTTTCAATTATTATAATATTAAACGACAACGAGGACATATAATTAATATTATGGTAATATTCTATGTCTATATAGGTAGGTTTGTCAACGAAAAAATATGCCCGAAAACGTTTCAACAATTTTGGTTGTATTTATTTAAAAAGTCTTAACATTTCAAAATATATTTAAAATTATTGATTCTACAATATTCCATTTTTGACGTTATTTACCAATCAGCTAAGCATAAACAAAAATCAGATTAAAAAAATCCATTTATTGTGTTATATCGTATTAGGTATCTGATATAACTTTTGTGTGAACGTTTCTCCCTCTATTAATAATTATTAATTTTTGAAAATCATTATAAGGTCAGTTTTAATATTATTTATATTTTATTCAAAACTTTAATATACGTTTCTGAATATTTTTTTATTTACTATTGAGTATATCATTATTTCAAATAATATTGTCATTAATTTAAACATGTGATGTGCACCATGGTTTATTTAACCTGCTCACTGATTTTCTATATGTGACTGTTAATGACTCAAAAATACATCTTTATGCAGTTTGAAGTATTTACAAGTTATAATTCATAATTGAAGTCTTGGGTGTATTATAAAATTTTTCCAAACAAAACCATGTTATCATATATTTTAATGCACTACAATATTTTAATGTTGTATTTTTACTACTTGTACACACCTTCGAAGCTTTTAAAATAAAAATAAAATATCAGTTTAATACCTGTTCGATTATAATGGATACGTTAAAACATTAATTATCATTTTATCATTATCAATAATAATATTCACCTTCAAAATTGGAAAGTGATTAAGATGTGGACTGTCTATTTTAAGTTATACAAATATTATAAAAACATATTTTATTCTTATTACCATAAAAACTGCCCGAGAAAAATAGTGTAGAACAGTGTTTACTGAAAATAATGTCTTATATGTTGTTTTAAAACTAAAATTTAAAAAAAACATCAATCTGATGTTCACTAGATAATATTATTGGTTATTTCTTGGTTTGACGAAAAGTCAATTTGCTCCAATATTAAAAACACATTTAAATCGATTATTCAGTATGTACAATTTGCCGTGTTACGTGTTTATAAGACGGAAACAGCAAGTGAGGTGGTTGGGTATAATATTAATACTGATATAATATATACTGATATAATTGATTATATTGTTTTTATATTTAAAAATGACCATGGTTCTAGTGCACAATTTGATTATAGTTGGCCTGTTGATTTATTATTTAAAGGACTCGAAGGTCTTTATAAATATATTTAACAATTATATACATTTAATTATATATAAGGTATAAATTATAATTATATTAAACTTTACACGTTGACGGAGTCACCTCCAAGGAAGTGGCTCCTGCATTAAGATCTTAAATTAATTCGTATGGTTTCGGATGAAATCTTCGCATTTTTTCTTTAATGTCAATTTTTCATAGGTATTATACACACGGTAATACAATAACACTTAAAATACAAAAATATTTAATGTTATTTTTAAAGATAATATAGCAAGAAAAAAAACATTAACATTTATTTATTTTTTATAAAAGTTTAAAGTTTAAATTATTATGACATTGGATATTCACATATATAAAATAACGATTCTCGTCGAACGATTTACCTAATTTGTTGTTATTCAAACACATCAATTCTCTATAAGTTGTTTATCATGAAAGAAATTCAAAAAAATTAAAGACACACATGCACAGTTTTTTTTTAAGGCATTTCCAAACTATTTTGTGGTAATAATTTTATAAAATGTTTAATTTTTTAGCTAATGATTATAATTTTAAAACAAGGTTTCTCAAAACTGGACTGAACTACCCACAACCGAAAAGTTTAAGCCAAATTTCAACTCGAATTGAATTAAATATTAACACTTAATACATGCTTCTCTCCAGTGTGCGTCCGCTGGTAAACTTTCAAGTTGTTGATTTGATTGAATGACATTTCGCATATTTTACACAGATAAGGTTTCTTTCCAGTGTGAGTTAACTGAAAAAATGATTTCAGTTGGCTTTTATTGTTCAATGATTTGTCACACAATGGCACATGGGTACTGTCTCTCGCCCACACGCGTCCATCGGCTACATGTGAGATCGTTCATTTTTATTTTTCACTTGTTGCAAATTTTACTTTTATTATAACTAACAACTAACAACTAACTTAACACTGATAAAATGTTAATTAAGTTTGTCACTATTAATTTGTATATAAAACTGAGCAGTACTAGTTAGATATTTGTCTTATCGTAAGAATCCATGCTCACAAGATATTGTAAAATATTTTACAAGATATTTATATATTTTGTACAATGTGTTTTCGATCGATTAGTTCAGCTCGGGTTTCTAGTCGGAATGAATTATTGTTATCACAAAACCCGGTTCATCATCTCGATCTCAAAAAGTGTGTTTCGCATTATAATCTACTCCAGCAATGAATCTACTAGCGAGTGTCAGGAAAAATTTCATAAACGTTTGGTTAGCTCATTATTTCTATCAATACACAGTAGTTGCTTATGAATGTACATGGCATGGTTATCAAGGTCCTAATTTTCAAATGATTTATTTAGTATAGCCACGATTTTTCAACGAGCATCCGATTGTTTGGATGTTCAGTTGTATATATTCGATAGTCAAGTTATTGTATAGTGGTCCACATTGTGAGGTGGGTTTTTGAAATTATAACAATTTTCTTGTTATTTATATAACATTTTAAAGTTCTTGTTTTCAATGTATAAACCCTTTTAGCATTCCGTTATGTTATGATTCAAAGGTTGCAACTCATTTATTATTTTTTCGTGTTTTGGTTTTCGACTCGATTAATTTTTTTAATTCTGTCATCACGCCAGACAGACTTTTTTATGTATGGGTTTGAATCGGTTGGCCTATGATTTTCGTTCGAAGAACTAGCCACCTGTGCAAATTAAATATGTTGATTGACTGGTTTCGCAGGATTTTGTCGTATTCTTTGTACTGACGTAGTTTTATCGAGTGAACTCTTACTACTGCATTTTTATAAGCGACTTGTCCTTTCTAATTTGCGATGTCTGCTTCACCATAGTTGCTCATTTTACTTTTGATTCCTCTTACTTAGAGCAATTTAGCGAAGTGTATCCTTCTCTACATTTTACACACTTTGGTTTTTTAAATACAACTTTTGAGTGACACTAATTGTTACCAGTTTTTATGTTGTTCACTTATTTTTTCATTATAGATTTCACTTTTCTTCTATGATAGCACACGTCATTTTTAATATAATAAATGTCTTTGTTGTTTGCTTGTAGCTCGAAATCCAAGACCAATAATGGAAATCTTGCAGTATTCCTATCATTAAACTCGTTATTGTTAGGGTCACCTTTTTTTAATTGTAATGTTCGTAACATTATGTACATATACCCTAGTTCAGATAATTCAAATTTAATGTCACGTAAGTCAGTTTCAGGGTGTAAAAAACTTTTTTTCTGTTATAAGTTAGTATCTATGATACTCAACTTTTTGCTCTTCTAATACTTTAATAGTTCGTCAAAACTGTTGTTTGTCGCCTGTAAGTACCTTAATTTCAGCATTAGGCAAAATATTAATATAAATATTTACAATTATTTGGTATCTATTATATACAACTATTTATTTTTATAATAGGAGGATATTTACTTAGAATTTAAAAAACAGTTAGTTATCAAGTTTCAATGTTTTGTTAAGGTTTCACTTTTTTTTAGTTATTAGTTTCTAACATAAAATTATAGGTATTTTTCTTCAAATTAATAAACAGTTAAATATTTTTCAACTTTAATTTTAAAAATTATTTTCTGTCTTAATTTTTCAGCAATTTGAATAATAAATGTGGGCAGTATTGTTTCAAATTTAAAATAATACGGGTAAAATAATTCGTATTCATAATAATAATAATAAATATATAAAATATATGATATTATAAATAATAATAATACAAATAAATCAGAAACATTTTCTTGAGAGTGAACTAATTAAGTAAAATCAGCAAACAAACACAAACGCTTTTATAATTGTGATAGACTGTACAATGTACATTGTCTATTATATTTGGATTACAATTTCGTGTGCACTCCACACGATATAATATTTGAGGGGCGACAATGCAAAACGTACTATTGCCAAAAATAGCAAAATTGAGTTATATATCATATTTTATTGATAAAATTATTTTCAGAAAACTGTTTGACTGTGCCTCTCTGCCTCTCGGTGATTTTTATCGACAGGTTTGTAATTAGTATCTAGGATTCCTGGTATTTGTTCTCTTGTGGTAGTGTCTTGTAAAGTAGAGATAAGATAAGCTAATAAAATAAAGATACGAATCTAAAATCAATAATATGTAATTTAAGACTTCATAAACCTCATATTTCAGAAGTACAAAATTGACTTCTGAAACAAAAGAATCTCCGCTTTGCGTCATAACTTTCTGATGTTTTGTTACAGATTATTGTTGTTTCTTCTAAAAAGTTATTGATTTAACTGTTAAGGATTTGATAATATGGTATTATATAGATATTTCCCAATTAGTTGCTGTCGTTCGGGCATAATCTATATACATAAAAATCTAACTTGTTTTTGGGGACGAAAGAAACCGGTTTTAAACCCTCATTTTAATAATAATAATAATTATAATTAACTAATTACCAATTATTTTCATATATTCACCGATAACGATGTCTGTTTCTTTTTTTTTTATAATCGTTGTATTATTTGTACAGCCAAAAAATAGTCTTATGTTTTTAAATTAAATTATAAAAAAATAATTTCTTCCGGGGGAAGGTTGGGCAGCTAGTACAATATAATATAGCCAAAGATATTACCTGGTGATTCTATTGTTTAAGAAATATTATGTATAAAGAGGTTGCTTTTATAAAGTGTCCCTTTTGTACAAAATGTTCTGAAACAATTAACGAAATAGTATTATTATATCAATTGTTATGATTGTCAATAAATATTTTAATGATGTTTTGCATATTTGTTTTTTTTGTGTGTTTGAATTAATTAAAGATTTTCAATTAATTTTAGTGTTTCTTACTTCTTCATGTTCAAGGCTTTGAATGGATTCATTTTCATTATTTTGAGGATCAATCGTTGAATAGGGTTCCAACCAATTGTGTCTTAAGTTTCCATTTTTAAATGAGATTCAACACCATTGTTGCTATCAATGTAAGAATGAATCGCTGTTGTTCTTATTTTGCTTATATTGAATGGGATTCCCATTACGTCTTCTGCCACTGCTTCTGTCGCAAAGACCTATAGTCTAATTGATTATAAACTTCACAGTGCTGGATTAAGTTATTATAATTAAGTAAATAAGTAATTATAATAATTTTAACTATTTAGTATAACTAGGGACAATAATCAAATGTGCATTAATATTTGAAAAATCGTATTTTGTTTTAATATCACTTTGTTTGCATACAGTTTAAATATTCATATCCTTACAAGTTTACTGAATTACCCACTTGCTATAAATTCCTTGCCATCTTCAGTGCAGTATGACGAAAGCGTTATTTAGGTAAAATGTAATTTAATTATTACAAATCAAAATATTATACTAACAGGATTGAGAGCTGTAACTAGTGCATTAAGATTATTTACTAATAAATCATTGTAATCAACACAAACGACGTTTAAACAACGTAAATTCAATTTTCGGTAGTAAAATAATGAATAATCAAAATAATATGTTCGACAATAGTTATGAAAATATTATGTTTGAGCTCTACGTCCGTTTATTAGGATTTAGTCCATTGTTGATCGTTCATTGAGTCGAATTCACACAATTTCCCCAGTGAAATTTATCATACGCCGTCATAACGGTCACAATATATAACATACATAGTATACTACTCACATTATTATACCCACAAAGGCTCACGTAATCGGTTGTTCCCTTTCGACAAGCGTATAACACGGCCATAGAATGTATGACATTGATATTGTTATCGTAGAATCTGCAAGAATATTGTTTGATATTTATTTTTGCATAATAATGATAGAGAACCATAATTATTTCAATTCAAACGGTGTCCACTAAGTTCCCCTGGGTATAGGGAGGACAACCACAGATTGTAGCATTACCTCCAACCGGTGACAAGACTTTCATTACATATTTGAAAATATTTTCAACTAATGTTTGATTATTTGCAGTATAATATTTTCAAAACAATTCAAGATTAAATTGATGGAGTTAGGGGCTATTTCACCATCCATCAGTTGTTACACTGGCTCAAAATTGGGGTCAACATTTTGCAACCTTATATTCTGAAAGGAAAATATTAAAATTGACCGATGACGGCAGGGGCCTTATTTGGTGGTGGGAAGGGAACAGGGGGTACTTGACTTTTAAAATATATTGTTTCAATTGACCTGCTGAAATAATGAACCATTATTTATACAGTTAAATTTAATTTGTATTTTTATATTAGCAGATGAAATAACAAATATCGTACTATCAATTACCTAATAATTAAGTAAACGTTTTTTTATCGCTCAAAAAATTTGTAAAGTCATATTTACTCACTACCACGACCTATGTGGGTCATGCGTGATAAAAGACTGAACGATCTCATAGTTCTCATTGTTGTAAAAGAAGTATTGTCAACTATATAGTAACTATACATTTAGGAGACGCTGTAGATGTTGTGCTATTAATTTTTTTCTAGAGCATTTTTTTATTTTTTACAAAAGTTATAAATATAAAATATTTATTTATTTAAAATAAATATGCCTTTATAAGTTATATTTTTATATAATTGACGGTTAATAACAGAAAATAGTAAACGAGCCACGGTAAGATGTTCTCCAATCTATTGAAACTTAAATTTTAGCTGGAATATTATTCTTCAAATTATAAATCATTGATTGCAATTAACTTATAAGCTGCAAAATATTGTCACCGGTTGGAAATCGATTCGATAAAATGCGGAGGGAGCATACTTCACGGATGGATTCAATATTCAAACAAAATATAATAATATCATATTTTAATTAAATTGTTATAGTTGCAAGTAATCCTAAATAAGGACTAAATGTGACTCGTCTAAATAAGTTGTCATTGTTATCCTCAGTTCTCAATTTTAATATGATTACTGAATACGCCCATACGTAATAACTAGTAAGATTTATACGAAAACTGTTTCATGCATTTTTTATTGTATTTACAAGTGTCGTCAAGAGTTTCATAAGTAAATATCATTAATTTTATTTATATATTTTTTTAAATTATTATATGATATGTATAATTATTATGTTTCATGGATACTAAATAATTATTCTTCAAAAGTTTTGGATTTTCATTAATTATTTTACCAACACTAAGACTATTCTGTTAATAATTGCATCTACAACTAAATATCGGAATGGTATATTAAAAATATATTTACATTTTGTGAACCATGGATGTGGAAAGTACTTTTATAGTTAAAAGTAGGCCACTATTCTCTAAATTGTTAGAAATACAATCATAGTCTATTGTAAAAATTGATTTAATATTAACTAACATAAATTATTGAAATCGATAACATATATAGGTCTGTATAATATTATTATAATATCTCAAAGGTGATGGTACATTAGTACATCATGTAAAAGGTTACTAAACAAAAGAAAAATGCACAGTTTCAATACTAAAATTATATTTAAAATAAATGTATCATAATATAATAATATTAGGTTACTAAAAATATTTATATATTATATATTTTATCAAATAAATATAATATATACTATATAATTACTAATGTTATGATAAAATAATTATAATAAATATTAAAAATAAACATTATGGAATTATGATATAAAAAAATGCATTTTGTTTTTATACCAAAAACACTAAATGCTCTGTACAGAGCTTAAAAACTAATAGGTCTGTTAGTACAACCCCTATATAAAGAGCACAACATAATATTTTCTGACAGAAATATTTTCACACGACTGGATATTAGATTCTAATTCACTCGTCCTGACCACGCAAAAAAATAATTTTTTACATGAAAAATGATTTTGGGAAACCAATGATAATACCGATCCGGGCACTTATGATCGTTTTTACTTTCTAGTCGCTCGCATCAATTAGTTGCTCGTTAGATAGAGGTTGTTCTAACATATCGTGTTTACGCACGCGCAAACACAGAATAAAAAAAATATATAATATGTATATATAAATCTACCTATAATATAAAATACACATCTAACTTATTCAAGAAGACGTTTCTAATACAATAATAATATTATATGAATATTTACAAGCGACAAGTGAAAAGAAAACTTCTTGTTCTTTTTCAAGTTATTCATCAGCTATTGGAACGAATGATAATAATAATATAATGACGACGTAACGGATTATTAATATTATATTTTTAAAATACTATCGTAGAACGTTACAATATTGAATATAATATAAGATACTGCTTTAGATACTATGTATATGTTTAATATTATTATATAACATAACGTTTAACTAGATAGGGTACTATTAGAACGATTTCATCTCGTATGTGTAACCGAAATGATTCGACAATGACATGCGTGATAAAATACGGAGCGAGTTTACGAGGGGTGGGTAGACACGGTGGGTGAGCGAAATGATTAATTATTGTACCTACCTATATAATAGATCGAGAGGGACCTATCGTAATTATTATGATATAGAGCGGAGTGTGGGTATAATATTATATCCTGACGGTTCGACAGCGAAACAGTTTTACGAGTGTGTTTCGTCCATTTTCTACAGCAATGAAATACTTCACTGCAATATTATAGGTAATATTTTGTGTCGAGATATTGATGTGAATTCCTCTTAACCACCACCTAAGTGGTACCTACACTCGCTGTACTTAAAATATAGATGAAACATGTCCGTCACGTGTGACATTGTTAGGCGTTTCGTACGTCTTCGAGTACCCTGCAGAAGGTTAATACTTAGTATGGAAGTCACGACGTCATAACATCGTTACCACGGTTGGTCCATGACCATAATGGTCATTCGTCACAGAAACTGAATAACAGCTGATAATAATAATAATATTGTCACGAATATCTTCCGAGTGCGGAAAAGATACGCCGTCGACGGTGTGAAAAAATATGTTTACTATTCGAAACTGTGTAATAATGTAGAAAAGCCACCGACCGGACAACCAAATTTAATAATATTTTTATAGTAATTATGTTTTCGAGAAAATGAACGAAGCAGTATGAACGCATATGTTGCACGCTTGTTAGCATTGGCAAATAGCAACTTCTATAATATTATAGTATAATAATTTATAGTAAGTATACGAATTAATTGATACAATATTATTTATTACTTTTTTTATTTTTTACTTAGTATATGGCCCATTTTTGTTTATTCTCTTCTTCTTAATAATAATAATAATTGAAAAAGATTGAAAAATTACATAAAGAGGTCGTTGATTTCGTGTAAATAGTGCATTAAACCTGACTTAAAGTATAAAATAATATCTGTCCTGCAGCGAAACATGATCGGAAGGACGGTTTAATATTATCATTGTTAGTATTATTATTATTATTACTATCATCATCATCACCACGTGTTTCAGACGAATGTTCGTACACAGACAGGACGAGAGATGTTCAGTTGAACAGTAGGAGACGTATAAAGGGTCGAAACTCGGAGGAGGGTAAACCTAATTTTTTTATATATTAAATTATACAGTTAGAGATGACAAATGAAAACGACGAGGACAATCCTGAGCACAGGAAGTCCCCGCAGGTTTGCCCTGGACAACGGATTGGCGACTAAGAAAAAACATCGTCCGACCGTCACGTATGCGTAACTTGATGTTATGATAATATTTTATGTAAAATGAATGCGAATCGTCCTGTCTGTACGTGATCTGGTCAAGGATCAGGTGCACATATGTCTGCACTGCAATACCGTTAAACCCGAGGTAATACAGTGTTTCTTAAGCGTCTTTCTATTCCGACTGAAATTAACAACTCAATAATTGACAACATTAACAATAATAATAATAACAATAATAATGATTACTATTTTTAAACAACAAAAAAAAATGATATAGAAAATAGTATATTATTATATGTTCAATGCGAGTGGTGATGAGAGTGTGGTATTGTATACACGATGTGATATGATAATATTATGTTAAGTGTTTTGTACCTGATGATATTTTGTAAAAATACAGGCTGCTATTGCCGTACCCCCCTCCCCGGTAGTCAGCCGACCCACGTCGACACCCCTCAGTTTATTCTGCCCTTGTGTGTGAGGAAACATCTCGCCGGCGCGGCCGCGATCACGTGGTGCGCAGGATCGTCGGCGCATCCCTTGACCAATCGCTTGGACCGGTAACACATTACGGTCAGTGCCAAGCTCAAAAAGCACAGCACAGTGGAGGCGAGGGCCAGCAGACCGGCCAGCAAACCAGACCGCACGCACACTGAATTCTGGCTGTTGTCCGTGTAGTATCCGGTGGTTCCTGCAAATCGTAAAGTATAATATTATAATATTGTTATATTCCACAATGCGAGTTAGAGGGAGGGCCGGGAGGGGGGTAGGGTTGAGTCACGGAATTTGGCAAAAATGTAGGACAATCGCATGGTGGGCGTCAGTTAGTTTGGATTGAACGTACTGAGGTAATGCCTTAAGAATGTACGCAAAGGTGAATCATTTTGAAAATTGTAGTCCCCTTTTAGAATTTTTTTCATCTTTCCGAAGAAAAATAAAACTGTAAACGAGTCAAATAATTGAGAAAATGAATTCTTTTCTACACCACTTAACTAGAAAAATTTAATAATTTATATTTTATTATGAATTGCTTGATTTTAATAATATTTGAATATATTTGCTCTCGATCCGACATCCATTAGTTTTTATAGAGTCATAATTACTCCATAGATTCAGAAATGTTCACAACTATATGCTAATAATATGAAACGTGCACATTGATGTGATGTTTCGAATATTGGCTGTCATTAGTTGCAGGAGAAGTTTAACGACACATAACGCTATAAGTCCGTGTGAAACGTGTCAGCGATTGGCGAAAAATTAGGCCGGAAAAGGAATGTATATATAATTATTATATCGAGTTTTTAAGCGGCATGAAACAACAACTATTTTGTCCTAAAATCGTGTCGTTACCACTGTATCAACCTTGATGAAAATAGGGTTTAAAAAATAGGGTTTTATCATAATATATTTTTGAGAAAATTCACGGCATGAGATACCTTTCCCCCAGCCCTCATATGACCGTCGGCCATCTGTGTGGTGAACACAACTTCACCAACGCCACAATATCAGTCAGTGCAGGTGTCATGGACTACCACTGAATTAATGAACAATAGTCTAACCAATATGTAATATTATGCAATTATGGTTAAGGCGAATGAATTGAATAATACTTGGGGACTTAGGAGGTTATGCAGATGAGTATATAAGTTGTAATAATTTCAATAACAACAATAAAATGTGAGTACTCACTGTTGCTAAGTGCACTTGCGTCTTCGCCGTTCTCGCCCTCTTGAAGCACTCTCAACGACTGGAACAAGTTGATGTTCTGCGAAAGGGCTGCCGGGGTCGTAGCTACCTCCACGTCGGTGGACCTCTTCGATACGCTCTTGGCATTCCTCCAGTGACACGGTTGACTCTGTAAAATAGCAAACCGAAGGTCAGATTTCGTTCTATACGAGAGTCAATACGGTAAGTGAAACGTGCAGAGTATTATGTTTATAATCGTATATTCCATAGTATTATAAAACCATTAAAACCAATAATTTCAAAACATATTTAATATTAATTCCATTGATTATTTTTAAATCAACAGGAACATGCTAAGGTATTTCAACGGCCTATTGAACTAGAAGATACGTCATCAAGTTAATTAGAAAATTAAATAACTAGTTAAGTTTTAAAAAGTTAAAGCGAAACCGTTTTCATTAAATGTATTAAAATAAAATATATTGCTGTACAGCGTATAGTGTATAGTTACTGATGAAACGTTTCTGGTCAAATTTACTAGGTACCGTTCGTTCAAACGACCAGCCTAATATTCAAATTCGGTTGTGGTGACTTACCGGACATCTGCCGTGACACATTCTGACGTCACATTCAATGTAAAGTGCCGGTGACCCGGTGAACCTGAACGTTTTCATGTAGGCGAACACTTGGGTCTCAAACACTTGGCTTTCGCTCCACGATCCTCTAAATCTGCTGATCAGCTTGTCGTCGACGGGACACCTGCGAAGAATAGACAACATTTTCGTAAAGTCAGAGTTCAAAAACGCATTGTTTGAAACTTTTCCTAGCACACGTTGAGGGGCTACAACCGTTTTGGAAAAACGCTTATGAAGGGTTTAGTATAAACAGTATTAACGACATCACATGAACAATTTAAATTAAAAAAATTAAATATATATTTTAAACACCAATTCCAAACACACCATTTTTACTGGTAGTCGTGTACTCTTAGTCATCGTGTTGGCATAGTATTTCAAAATAATAATGTAGAATATTAAACCAAATAATAATGTGACACCGATTGATTATTTTACTGTTTTAACTAGTAACTACGTTTGAAAATCTAAAGAAAACATTATTTCGGAAAAAAAGAAGTGCAATATCAGATTTTTAATATTTTACACATTTAATTTCCATTTTACATATTACTTTCAAGACAGCTATAACCATTATAATTTGTCATGCACTTTTTTGATAACGGAATTATTATGTTTTTTTCATTTGGTAAGTGTGTCTATACACTGACAACTCGGAGGTAAAACGTCCTCTTAAAAATGTATTGTTTATTCATGTTTGACTCTAAGTATCCACGATATGTGGTACACAAACGGATGAATCAAGTACCTGGAGGTAAGGTCACCCGACCGGTTACACGGCCGGATGCGGTAAACAGCGCGGTTACAAGACTACCTAACGTAATATTATTATTTCACTGAATATTGTGATAGGTAATGTCAAAAGTTGCTGTATATTATTATTCGCTCACCCGTATTGATCGATGAGTTGAATCTTCTTCTGCGCTCCGTTGTGCGCGTAACAATCGTTCACCACAATGTCGAAACCATCTGCAATCACATCCGGAAAAACCGTTGACATTATCGTTGTAAAATAACAATATTAATTTTGTTCGATATTAATAATATTTAACGGCGTTCGAGTGCCGACATAGTGCTAGGTTGACGGAGGAAAACACCTGTGCGCGCGTTTTACACCTCGCTGCGGCGGAGACTGCAGTGCACATTTATGCGATTTTCTATGCAACATGTTGCAGGAGTAGTGTGTGCGTCGACATTAAGATGAAAGGATTTAAAAACCATGTCTGAGGGGTGCACAGGTGTACGTAATTCCAGTGCAAGCGAGCCGAATGTAAAACCGCTCGGCCACGACCGTAACCTCTTGTTACGACAACAACAATAACGATATTGTTGTTGTTATGATTGCCACGAAAGTAGACAATCTTTCGAGAAAGAGGAACATCGTCAACACCGTGATTCAGTCACGTGTATTACTATTGATTTACCCCTCGAAATGTAAGTTATTATGTCCACATCTTAACTTAACTGTAGCCGAAGTGAAAATCGGTTACTAAAATGTATCACTGCAGCGTTGAACTTAAGAAATTTCGATTTTTTTCAACCAGAGTATAGTGAAAATTTAAAACAAAAATTTGGCTTGCCCGATCAATATAGGTATAATACCAATTTGAGAACCACCCTCGTATACACTACGCTCGGTTTATATCCATTAAAGGGAGATCAACGGTGCAGAGAATTATGCCAAAATCGTCACTTTGATCAAGAAAGCGCTACCGCCACTGGCCACCGCCATAATATTGTTGTTATTATTATTATTATTATTATTATTAACAATATTCGATCATTACCGTATTTGCTTCTCATGTAGATGATCAAAGTCAGCGGGTCTCCCACGCGTACGGGTCCGCCCACCCTGTTTCCTGTGGTGCCGTAGCCGTACCGTATTTCCATGTAACACTCGGGCGGCGACAGCGTGAAGACGACAGGATTGCCGGTGGCGACTCTGCAAAAACGGAAGACCAGACAAAGTTAACACAATTTATCGATGTGAAAAAAAATTTGTCATTGTTGTAATTATTATTATGATTATTTGTGTCGGGTCATAAAATAATACACTATGACTAAATTATACAATTAGTTCATTATTATCAAACGGATATCGTGTACACGTACTCAACGTCTAAAAACGGAAATGTCACAGTCTTCCAAAAGTCGTAGCCGTATTCGCAGGTCACCTTGAAGTGTTCGTCCCATTCCTCTTCGATCAGCGGGTTGTATTGCACGGTTACGGTGTTCCACATGAGATTTTTCTGGGAACAAAAACAAAGTCCATCAGATAAAGTCGTACAGATATATTTCGATATCATTATTATTATATTATATCGTGATGTTGATGACATACTATGCTCAATAGCCCCAAAAATAAAATCGGACCAAGTGCAGAGTAAAGCATTTCGTCAGACGATATGACGTTTTATCGTGGCATAAAAATGATGACAGTAATATTAATGTCAATGGAGATACCTATGTGAATATAAATTGATCGAAAATTCGTTCTTAATTCAAATCCGAACCCGATCACACTCCAAAGTGCGTTCACTTGTCACACACTGATAAGTAACCAAAATACCGTCATTTCAACTTTCCTATATGTTGTTCTTAAAGCGCGGCCCGACTGTAATCCCCTTCATATTAAAATTTATATTTAACTCATTGATATTATAGTACACGATAACCAAAACTTTAAAATTAACTTTATTTTCTCAAATTGATTAATACTGTATAGACGATTATGCACACAAGTATATTATATTGCATAATATTATGTGGGTGATATAACATTGTAGTCTCTGAAACTTACAGCTGGGTTTTTCCTAGCGTCCTCTTGTCTGGAGTTCTTTCCCAAGGTACCGCAACGGTTCAGCTGTATGTAAAACTCGTAGTAATCCCGACCAGTGCCGTTGATGTAAACGCAATCCGGGTCGTACGAATATCCGGACGAGTACAGCAGACCGCCAAATGAGCCGTTGAAACCAATGCGAATTTTCATGTAATCGTCCTGGCACTCGGCTTCGATGTCTGAGGGGAAGATTGAAAAAAAAACACGTAAATAAAAATAAATTATAATAAAATAATGTAATAGGTATTGAAATAACATAATATGATATTAATATATAATGTGCATTTCATCATGGATGGCGATAGTATAATAATTAATAATATTGGTAGGGATGAAAATAATGATTCCAATAATAATCACTTATTATCATTAACGACATTTGTGAATATCAGCAAGACACATAATAATATTATACGTGTGATGATTTTCAAAAGTGCAGGGAAAATGTATTATTTTAATGGAAAAAATTAACTTGAGTTACTCGAGTTAAGCGATTATTGTTTATCGGCTAGTAAGTTTACTCTTCGAGTTCAAAGTTAATCTAATGATGAACAGTATTTACATGATTTGGTTAAAAAACATTAATAACTATAAGCATGGAGCTATAATAGTGAATGCCAGACTTCGAAAATATATACCTATAATACCTACGATGACTCAACCGCTTCAAAAAACAACAATATAACATTATGAAATTAATTTTGTTTTTCCCCCGTTAGCCCAGACAATGGTATAGGTACCGGAAAATTGACGTTATCTCAATCGGAATAATTTTCAGTGGACAGTGTCAAAGCTCTTTTATTTATTTATTATTTTTTTTTTTTTTTAGGGGGAAACCCTCGACAACATAGGCCATTGGGAGTAGTTTTATTTTTAATGCAGTAAATTTGAGTGAAGTGATGCGCTCTTCCGGAAATATTTTTTTCCTGCAGAAGGGATTTTTAAAAAAAAGTGTCCTTTGCAAATGGATTTCGTCATGACAGCGACATAGTATTAAAATACCTATCGCATATATCACCGCTTTTAATATCTAATAATAAACAGTCGTACGGACAATGGCCGACGATTACGGATTAATAGACAATTTATTTTGTCATTATTAATATTAATTTATGTGGTCTGATAATATGTCGATGTGGTCGAAATGAATAACATCGACATTTTAGAGTATGAGAAAATACCTAATATTTTTAAAATATTATATACTTAATTTGCCTGTAGGGTCTAACGACAAAAATAGGTATCCACTGTTATACGTCGTTATAACCACCAAATGGGTATAACCTAATTTGGTATTTTTATTTTATTGTCAGTTTTTTTTGGGTTTTTTCTCGTGAACTCATAATTATCTCGGACTTCTGTCATTATGTTAATATTATTTTCGATTAAATTGAACGTTTAAAGTACCAACGAATTTACACTATGTCTCGGCTTGTCATAATTACTTTTACCGTTCAAAACGCTCATCCGAAAAGCCAATTTTGTGCAGCTCTGGTCACTCGTCGTTGTACTATATTATATTATTATTATTATTATAATTATTACGTCATCCACAGCGTAATAGAATAATTCCAAATTTATCTAACCGAGTAGTGTTTATTCTCTAACACCCATCGTAAGCACGGTTTTTCGGTATATAACTTGCCAAATCTCCGTGTAGAACACTACTTTTCGACAGTCCAGATTCAGTATTGGGAGAAAACATTTTTAGTGAATTTTTTCTCGCTTTGTCGTAATCAATAAATCGTAGATATTTATGTATCAAGTTTTCCAAGAAGTTAACATTATTTCAAATTCTAATACGATTATATTGTTATGGACTTTATTCGTTTCTAATAATAATACTGATATTATGAAAGGATATTACATAATAGTTCACTTATTTCAGTATTTACATCAAGTGATAAATTTTATTTGTCGTTTATGTAGATTGTAATAATAATATGTACCATAATTTTATTTATGAAAGACATTGAATTGTACAATTTCATTTAAATTATTTAAGACCATATATTATATAAAACAAGCCAACGGTCAAGTTATCGATTCTTTTTCTTTAATAAAAGAAAAAATTATAATAATATCTATTTAACAATTACAGTGTATAATATAAAGGCAAAATAAAAAATATATTCTTTTGAGTTTGGACCACGACAGTACATGTTTGGCTGCGCTACAGCAGCATCAAACTTTGTATAGTCTACGGATACATGAATACCCAACCATTTTTCTTTGAGTGTAATAAAGAATAAGAACAATTAAACGATGTCTTGGAAATAGTTGCATTTTTTGTATAATTTATTGTTTCAACTTTCAACGAGTGGCCCGAATCGCAGTTCTACAGCATGTTTAATAAGTTATGCACCGTTACTGTTATTCATTATGTTTAATACAATAAAATATTGTTATACTTTGGTATACTTTATCGCATTGTTATATTAATTTACCTCCAAGCTATTTTAAGCTCCAGTCTGCACTTTTTTCGACCAGCACACATTTGTTTCATAACGGTCGAACATTTTCATGATTTTAAAACTCGCGCTTAAAACAGCTACGAACCTCATTCCAAGAACCGTTTGCGTAGATACCTATTAAATACCTACGGATTGTATGCGCGGGTAAAATTTAATTCGAAACGTAACTTTTGTTTATGCTGTTTGCGACGATTTCGACGCGGGCGCGTTATAAAGTTTTGTGAGTTTATCTCGGAAGACATCAACTTACTGTTTTTATTCGCCATGTCTCGGCGTAAGTACACCTATATATACAATGGCAATTGTCTCGTGTTGACTGGGCAATTCGAGGAAGTAAATTCATAGTGTCTGCCGACCGGCGATCGAAAATAATAAAGAAAAGCGAGAAGCAAAAAATAAACAATCGTTGTTTAATATGTTGCGCAAAACGTGGTCGTCCTCGGGCAATGTAGTCTGTCTGTACTAGTCTTTCATCGACGACCGTTCGTGAGTATTTTGTCGACTCAGCTTGCCCCGTCCCTCCAAGACATTATAATATGACTTTATCGTGTGGTGGTGGTTAATTTTTTTTATGAAAGAATTTAAATGATAAATAGTTTTCTAGTTAATTGCTGTCAATGCTTAACGAAATATTTAAAAAACTATAAAAGTATATGCAAAGATTTCAAAAACATGAATATTGACGACTTATGAGCTATTTTATTTTATTTTATTTTATTTTATGATTATACGCCCCGAAGAGCATTTAGTTATATACTTATAGAGTCAATATGACTAATGTTCTTTAGGTGTTCCCAATGCAATAATAACAAATGTTTTTTTTTTTTTTATAAAGATTACATTTGTAAACAACAAAATGCATTATTGTTATAATTTATTTATTTACATGGTAAATAACTAAAATGGCATTTTTAATTAAATATATTATTACTGAGACTGGTGCACAACTATTATACTTATTTAGTCTATTACATTTCATTTTTTAAATGCCGGTGATCGCACGTATACAATTTATACCCGATGCTTCCCGAAAAGAGTAAGTTATAATATATCCTTTTGTCAGGCATAGATTTAGGTCCCAGAAAAATTGTATACACTATGCTATGAGGGTCGTGTAGTATTAAAAAGAAATGTCTGAATAGGATTAGACAATATAGGCTCATAGTACGAGTCGAGCAAGTCGATCTGAATCTCATCAGTAACATTAAAATTATAAATAGAAACGTTCATAAAACTTAGACAATAATTCTTACAACAGTATAGACAATCTATTAAGCTGTTAGGCGATGTTTATAACTTATAAGAAATCCCAATAAGCAATTTCAAGTATAGCAAAGGTTTGTAATGTAGGATACACATTTCAGTCATTTTAGCTATGACTTGAGAAGAAATTTAGGAAATTCCATTTGAAAATAATATGTATAGTTATTTCCTGAATTTATCATCATCGTTGACGGTGACATGATAATATATATTACGATAACTCGACCGGGTCGTATAGTGTTTCATTTACGCGGAAATCACGATCGCTAAGGTGCAATTAGCCGAAGCCATCCGGAATAGACGATGAAGATGGATACGGGTTGAGCGAGAGGAAATGCAGTGAAATGATCTATAGACTGAGCGATCTATCGCGGACAGGTGATGTATAAATGATTGTTTTTGGTATTAAATTGTGCGAAACCAATTTCAATCTCCAAATTACGAAAACACTGACACGGAGCCTGTAATTTATTAGTTCTTTGAATTCGTATTTAAATATGTCGAAGATTTAAATTTGCTGATATAAACTGCCCTCTCAGAGCAGAGGTCTTGTTATATTTTATTTGAGAGGCAATTATAATGTACTTAACTTATAAGTTTTTTCGAAATGTATAAGTGTATAACCTATTTGTTATTTGGCGATGTACAAACGATTTTATTCAATCAATTTTTCATATTTTAATAGCTGTAATACAAGACCGATAAAGTCTATATTATAATAAGTACCTATTCTTGTTAAAATTGCATTTATAGTTTTTTGTTTAAATAAATACTAAAAAGGTTTATTTAAAATATAAATATAAGTACATTAAAAAAAAATCATTCAGCTTTCTGCAGCTTATGTAAAATTGAAAGTGTTTAAATATTTTGATATTTTTACAAATGTCTGAGCATGGTTTTTTGTTTGATTTGCAGTTTTTAGTGCACTACATTCTCAGTAATAAAATTATATACCTACATTAAATTAAATAATATAAATAAGCAGTACATATTGTGTAGACGTGTAGTAATACAACAAAACATCATTTTAAAAACCATGGTGTATGTAACTTTTAGTGAACGAAATATATAATATGTTCCTACAAATAAACATTTTTCTAAGACAAAGCCGGGGCATCTGTAAAATGACATATATGAAACATGTTAACATTCCCAATACTTTCTTCCGTGCCGATTACCCGTGACACTTCGATAACTGCGCCTAATGCACTTTTCATACACATATATATTATATTTATTGTGAATGCACTATTATGCAGCTGGTACGAATGATAAATACAAAAACGCAATGAAATCTCGTTTTTTTATTTTTGCTTTATCCCCTGACAGCGTTTCAAATATGAAGCGACAGTGACGTTTTGTTGAATTTATGAATATTATTAGTATGCAACACCGGTTTTCAAAATGATCTACCCAATTTTTAATTTTTTTTCGAATAAATG